GCGAGCTACCTTATCCTTGACAAAGAGGTTGACGTGACAGAGTTTCATCACCTTATATTGACAATGAGGTGCAAGTTCAGGAGCAGCATTTATAACCTTCTCCTGGCGGAGCTGCTATGCAATTGCATTCTTCAGCTACCGGCGAATGATGAGGTTGATATTTGCAAACTGACACATAGATTTTGAACCTTATCCTGCCTGCAAAATGATTTGGGGACTGGCATACAGATACCTAACCCAGGGTGGTGGGTAAACAATGGACTGACTCACATGGGCTGTAGGACACCTGGGTCTTGAGCACCTAGCAGCTTTCTTGGGGTCAGTGCGTGTGCTCACTAGTCGAGGGTATCTAACTACTTAGCAGGGTCAGTCCATTCTTTGACCACCACCCCCCCAGGAGGGATGATAAGGTTGAAATGTTCATGTTTGATATTTTTTTGAAGCTTCTCTTGCACGCCTCAGCCTTTCGTGCCCAGAGCATTACAGTGATCCAGTGTTCCTTCCCCCAATTCTTGCATAATGTCCGCGTTGAGCTTGTCTGCTGCTTCTGGTTTGCTGCTTCTGGGTTTGCGCTAGGCAGTGTTGTGGGACTTGTCTTCAGATTAGTAGAGCTTCTGAATAGATAGTAAGCCTCAGGTGATGGGCGTGACAGAAGATGACATGGTTGCATGGGTTATTGCGCAGTCAGAGCAGGAGAACGAGGAGCTTCTGACGCAGTACGAGGACAGACTGCTGCAAGATCTCTTTTGTTGGCAGAAGGTTATTTAGGAGGGTTGTTTGGGAGAGGGTGATTTAGGAGGGTCGTTTGGGAGAAGGTCATTTAGGAGGGTTGTTTAGGAGAAGGTGATTTAGGACGATAATGTAGAGCAGGGGGTGGATCGTTTTCTGGCCCTGGTTGGGAAGAAGCTCAGAGTCGAGGCAGGCGACGGCAGTTGCCAATACAGGGCCCTCCTCTCATCCGGGCTCTTCCAGACGGTCGATGTCGGGCAGAGCATTCTCGAACTCCGTGTCAAGACCTACCAGCAACTCATGAGCGGGGCGGAGTTTTACCAGGCCAGTCGGGGTTTGGGTATGGGGGCTTTAAGGTTTACGGTTCATATTTTGAAGCCGGTGAAGGCCTACCTGAACGAAGCTGACGGGGATTGGGAGAGCTATGTCGCCGGTGTGCTGGTTGATGTCACGTGGGGTGATCACATCACCCTCCAGGCCCTTTCTGATTGCTTGCAGGTGAAAATCCGTGTCTTCTCCGTTTACGTGGACTCGGAACACCGAGACTACTGCCTGGACCAGCAAGTGGTCCTGCCGTGGAACAATGAGAACCCGGAGAAGGTCCTTGAAGTCTGCAACATTCAAGCCCTTAGGCTCATATTACGGATAAGGCATGTTTTTTAACCTTATTGCTTGGGATAAGATTGAAAATGGTGGCGATTTCAAACTATGTTAGGAAAGAATTGTTCCACCTCATCATGGCCCATTTGCAGGTTCTCATTTGACATTATCACCTTATCATTGGACATTATCACCTCATCATCGTTCATTCCCAGGTTATCCATTTTGAAGGAGGAATTAGGGAATAAGGTAGAAACCTGTTTCATGTTCACCTCATCACACCTAAGGACTGGCACTACGATGCCGTGGTGCCTCTGGGCGCCAAAGGTGGACCTGGACGAGGACACAAGAAGGGCAACAAGAAAGAAGGCTATGACCTAAGCCAGCGATGCCCAGGAGCAGGAGCGAAGAAGCACAAGTACGTGCAGGATGAGGCTGATATTGACCCTGCCGTCAAAGAATACTTTTTCGACACTGTCATGAAGACCAGGACCCCTGGTCTGCGGAGAAGCAACGGCGAAGATGCACTGGTATGTGTATCGGCAGATGCTCGGGTGGGCCACTAAGACCGTTCCCGACATGATCATCACCACAGACGTAGAGGGCCGGCCAGGCGTCGCTAAAGCTGTCACCGCAGGAACTTTGTGCAACAAGGAGCTGCTCAAGGCTTACTTTGTCCACCTGGAGGAGGACCCCCGGTAGTTATCACCTATTCTAAGTAGATAAGGTTGGAAGTTTAATTGTTTCCAGGGGTTTTTCACCTATTCTTTGGGCTTCTTCACCTAATCGTTGTTGCTAGGACCTGACCGTGCGCAAGCAAAAGTCCTCTCCGGGCAACATACGCTTGGCAGGGAGATCCTTGGCTGTGGTGATTTAGGTCTTGCTTCCCAAGTTCCTCCGCGGCACCACAAAGGCCAAGCGCAAACAGACCAAGTCCATGGCCAACTTCGTCAGGAGCCTGGCGAAAAGCAGCGCCGAAAAGCAGGCCTGCAACATGCAACTTGATGAGGTGAAGACTGAGAAAGATAAGGTGCAAAAGGCCCTGAAGGAGGTGAAGAATGAGCAACAGATGGAACAAACAGCAAGATAAGGTGAAGAATTGGAATAGCTTATGCACCTCACCAACTTAGAGTAAGATTATGTCCTCCTTTTTGGGTATAGTATCTTATGTCAGGAATATTATCTTACTAGGCTCAACCACCCAAAAAAACACTACTCACGTTAACTGTATTCTAAGCTTTTTAAAAGGGGCTTTATAGAGGATTGTTCCATTATATGGGAGTATGATGGGGGCTGTTAGGGAGGGATACTAGGAAGGCGTATAGGCTCATGAAGGAGGGGCTGTAAGTCAGAAACCCTGGACCCTGCCTATCCTCACCCAAACAGAGGATCCAGAAGCTTCAAGGTTGAGTTCTTCCCCGAGCCCTGGCTCCTGCCCTCAACCCCTGCCCCTCCACACCCTAAACCCTAAATCCTAAACCCTAAATCCTAAACCCTAAATCCTAAACCCTAAACCCTACACCCTAAAACCTAAACCCTAAATCCTACAGTTGACCTAAAAGCCTGAACACGAAAATCCTTACATGCTAAGACTCTGCCGCCTCAAAACCTGAGCAGTAAAGTCTCAAGCCTGCACGGAACGCTGGACCCTAATATCTAGACTTACCCGTGGTCAGCAGGGAAGAAGGGAATATATCATGTAGGGATTAGATTCCTTTACTACTCCCGGCTAACTACCAGTGCGCAGACCTTATGTCCTACACCCTACAGTCCTGGAATCCCAATCGAGGTGAAGATCAAGCTCACAAGAAAACCAATTCGACTCGCCCTCCCTGCTTCTTCCTCTAGTCTTATTATTACTAGTATTGTGCTTACTATTGCTACCTAAAGCAGTGTACTGCCTGAGATCAGGTCAAGCCACTAGTCTGAGAAATCTGCATACCCGCTTCACCCAGGAAAGCGAAGGCGCTTCCAGCAACGCCTGCTGCCGAAGCAGTCCCCAGCGATGCTGCAGAGGGGCTCCCGCAACTTGGGTGGAGGAACAGTGCATTTTGAGCTTGGGGTTTAGGGAAGTCTGAGTTGTGAGAGTGTTGGGTTAGGGTTGAAGGACGTCCTGAGCCTGAATCCTAAGCTGCTCACTACCCATATCACATACCCATGTTACTGTTATTGTTGTTGGGTAAAGCGTGGGCTTTCGTGTGGAGCAGAGGGCATTGAGATTTTGATTCAGTGGCGCAAGGGTTGCTGCGCGCTGTAGCTCTGCAGGGCGGTTCTTCACCATAGTGTGGGGGTTGGGGTACGCTAGAACCAGCAGATAGCAAGTTCTGTTTGCCTCTGACAGCAAACCTTAAACTAGACCCGACCCTGATGTAACGCCTGATCAAGCACATCCCCAAATGCAAAAATGCTGAACCATGAAAGCCAAAATCCTGAACTTGCAGCCTTAGCCCTACGCCCCGGATATGAGCCCTAGCAGGCCGAAACCCCAAGCACCGAACTCTAAAACCCTATGTGAGCTATAGTCTAAACTTCTGAAAGGGGGGTTAATACAGGGGAGTATGATAGGGGTGATTAAGGTAGATTATAGCTCATGTCTTACACAGGTGGTCTCCTCGAAGGTGGCTTGCCATGGGGGAAGATTTGGGAATCCCTGTTTACCCTAAACACTAAACCCTGAACCATAAACCTTAAACCCTAAACCCTGAATCGGGATAAAAAGACCACCAGCCTAAAACTCCAAAGTGCCGGTGCACCTCAAGGAAGGTCAGGGAAAGCCTTGCAACAAAAGCAACATGGACTTGGTAAAGTGGTAAAGAAGCAGGGTTTAGGATTGAGGGTTGAGGGTTTAGGGTTTAGGGCAGAACAGCCATCTAAGAAGACTTCAGCTTAGGGCTGTCTTTCTGGGTTTAAGCCCATTTTTCAGAATGTAAACCCCTAATTGATAAACCCTCCCCTTAATGGGGATTATAAGAGGGATCCTGATATTAAGGCCCTTAAAAGAAGGGGGTTTATTAATCAGGGGTCTACATTAATCTCATTCACTCTCTTCAAGGAAAGCCCACGCGCCGCCTGTGGCGCCCGATGCCCCAACAGGTTTCAACGACTCGGCAGAGGAGCTTCCGCGACTCGGGTGGAGGAATGGCGAAGTTCGTGTATAGGGTTCAGGGGTTTAGGGTATGGTTTGGGTACTCCCCCCCGGTAACAGTCTATATTAGGGGTCCTATTAAGGTCTATATATAACCGTATTATGAGTATTATCCAACTGTTACTGAGGGGGGGCAGTACCCAAGGTATGGGGTCTAGGGGTTTAGGGGCTTAGGGGTCGGGGGAGTGAGGGGTCTAGGGTTGAAGGAAGTCGTCAACCCGTAACTTCGAGCCCTTCTTAGGCCGCCCTGTAGCCGTATCACATCCCAATGTCGCTGTTCTTGTTCTCTTCTTGGTGAAGAATCCCAGGCTTCGGGAGGAGGATGGTGTTTAATTAGGGTTCAAGTTTGGGATTGATGTTTTCGACACGTTTAAATCTACTCGTTTGCTGGGCAGGCTATTCACACCGTTAGAGGTCCAGGCATCGAGGAAGCAGCATTTCCCTAAAGTTCAATTGTGCCTGGACCCCAGACGCCTAAAACCTAAACCCTAAACCCTTAACGCCGTAGCTGTGTTTCCTGTGATAGGATGGTGCAGCAGGGAGACTCGATGGTCCTGATGCAGACCAGCATGAAGCCTTGGCAGGTGGATGCGGACCTGAGCTACTCTGGCGAAGGATGGTGGCTGCTAATGCTGCAGCGTGACATCGACGAGATGAAGGCGGAGGGTATCCGTGTGGGGGCCCATGTGACGCAGCTAGTGCTGCGCATGGAGGCTTTTGCCGCCAATGCTATGACATTGGCGCGTGGACAATCGATAGACCGCCTGGCAATCCTGAACGCTGTCCTGCAGTCCTATGCCAGTGAAGTCTCTGACGAAACCTCGGACAGAGCCGATGAATGGGCTGAAAGATGGCAACAATGGATGCAGTGCTATATCTTGCCCAGGGGGCATGCAAGTCTTGACGAGGAGGCCATCATTGTGGACGAGAGCCAGGTGGAGGAAGCGGAAGCTTCGGAGGACTTCTCGGCGCAGCAGGTCGCCGTCCTTCAGAAGTACCTCATGGCCAATCGCAAACGAAGGCAAGAAGAGATTGGCCGCCGCAAGAGGGCGGAAACGGAGAGGGTGTGGGATGATTGGGCGATGTTCATTGAGTTGAACAGGAAATCCCCTCGACCTCGCACAAGAGAAAGAACGTTTGTGGTGAAGGACATGGTGAGGGACGTTGGGGTGCAAACTGGGCATTCGAATGCCTCGTCTTCTACGGATGCTTGGAGACCCCTAGCTGGAGGTGGAAATGTGGTGCCGGCGAATGCGAGTAACTGCTCGATGGTCCGGGCCAAGGATGAGGAAACTACGGAGGAGTGGACTCCACAAAGCAAGGGGAGGAAGGCCAAGAGAGTTCAAGCGCTTCTGGTGGAAGGAGAAGCGGAGAAAGTCGACACTTGCCAGGTTGACTCGTGTGGTGTGAAGTTGGTCGAAGGGCCTGGAGCAGCACGTGATGGTTGTAGTGGTAACTTGGTGCAAGAAGCCGCAGAAGAAGATCGAGCTGTTCGGGCCGCTGTGGTGCATGGCGACATGGAGGCTTCCCAGGGTGTGGTGGCTGGCAGTGACGGCGTGAGTGCAGTAGGCGAAGCGCGGGATGGAGATGTGGCGCTTGCAGCCGCAGATGGCAATGGTCCTGTTCATACTGCAGTGGTGGGTGGTGAGATGGAGGTTTCCCTGAGCTTGGTGGTGGGCATTGACGGCATGAGTGAAGTTGGAGATGCACCTGATGGAGTTGTTGCGTCAAGTGCCTTGGTCCGTGATGGTGATGGTGCCGCTGCAACCGTGGTGGATGATGAGGGCGTGAGTGGGGAGACTGAAGGTATGGCAGGTCTGATGTTCGAGAACTGAGTGGGAATAGTGGTTGCGTGTAAGCCGACTGGGCGAATGGACCCCCTGAGCAAGCTGCTAGACACGAAAGAGTCGACAGGGTTGTAAAAAAAAAACCCTTAACCCTTAACCCCTAAACCCCTAAATCCTAAACCCTAAACCCTAAATACTAAACCCCTGATCTAAGGCCTGATCAAGAGCAACCCCTCAACGCAAGAATCCTGGAGCCTCAAAGCCGAAACTGCCCACCCACAACCTTTAACCCTGCATCCTGGAGATGGGGGTTTCCTAGAATTAGGGGTACGATTTGGGGGGTCCCCATAGTAAAGACTGTGGTATATTAGGGTCTATATTGGGGGCCCCTTATTTTGGGAAGCTACCATATGAAACCGGGCACAGGACTCTAAATCTTAAATCGCAGCCCTAGGAAACCTACTGTGATCCTTGTGAAGAAGCGAAGAGGGAGAAAGGCATTCTTCAAAAACCTTTGTAGCTGGTACCGCACTCCCCTTTCTGGGCCTGCCGAATAGATTTTGCAGGCCTCAGTCGCTCCTGCCATTCAAGGCAATCGCAGACGCCGGTGATGAACCCTTCCCCTGCAGCTCCCAGTGATGCTGCAGAGGGGCTCACGCGACTTGGGTGGAGGAATAGTGGATTTCGCTACAAGGTTCCTGAAAATAATTGTTAATTTCTGTTACCAACAATCCTAATATTTAGCTGAAATTAGAATTTCTACTGGGGTTCCAAATCCCTTATTCGAGGCTCATGGAATAGTGCAGGTTTTAGGGACCAAGCAGCGTCCGACGGCCCAAGCTCGCAAGAGCTTATTGGTCCTCCACTCATCCCTCTCTAAACTGCAACTTCTTTGGGGACTATTTAGAGGATGATCTAGGGCCTAAAGGGATTCTTATGGGGATTCACCCTCCCGATTCCCCTAAAGCGCCTGTAAGTTAAGGGTCTGGGTATCATTGAATTTGCAACGGAGGATCCTTTTGCGGTTTCCGGCTTAGGGTTTAGGGTTTAGGGGTTTAGGGTTTAGGGTTTAGGGGTTTAGGGTTTAGGGTTTAGGGGTTAGGGGTTTAGGGTTTAGGGTTTTTTTTTGCATTCTGCAAAGTTACCCAGCAATGGATACTTCCTTGATTATGCAACGGCATAATATTGGGAGGTATGGGCTCCATGGAAAGGACATGACACCATCGAAGCTGCTGAGACCGTCACAGGCTCCAAAACCTGAATCCTAAACTCTAAACCCGAAATCCTAAAGTCTGAACCCTGAAGCCTGAACCATTAATCCCGAATTAAAAGCCTTGTTAAGTCGCGTTCTTAATCTTGACATCCTGGAACATGCGTCTCTACCCGTAGGGCTGGCACTTTGTTCTTGAAACCAAACGATCAAGCAGGACACAGGAAGGGATCCGCATGGGTACTTGTAGGGTATATAGTAGGTATATAAGGATTCCAGGGTTTAGGGCTCATATTATGGGCCCATGGTTTCAACCTGGGATTCGCCAATATTTGAATGGAGCTGGCTGGGAATATTCTGATAGAATTTCATGAGCATCTGAATTTTTTCTCAAACCATTTCCTGTGAAGGGGGGGCCGTCAGCTTCTGTTCATATCCTTCCCATATATATATATATGTCAGGTTCCTATGGGCATCTACCCTAAACCCTAAACCCTAAAACCCTAAACCCTAAAACCCTAAACCCTAAACCCTCCTCAGGGGATATTGGTTTGCCCTGGTTGCTTGTCGAGCTGACTTAGCTGCACAGTACGGATGAAAGCGCCATGACCTACCATATGGGAGTTATCTAAAATTAGGGGTACCTTTTGGGGGTCCCCATAATAAGGATTAATCCGGCTTGTTTCTCATTCCGCTATGGGCCATTAGACCTTAAGGGTACCTTAATCTACCCTTAATAGGGTCCTAATCGGGAATTTTAGGGTCTAATAGCCCATAGTGGTTCTTTGCTCGGATGAAGCCGCAGTACTGGATCTCTGTTAGGTCATATAAACGGTGGCCAACAAATAGAGAACCTCCACAGCGCTTTAGAAGATTCTGAAATGGTTTCCTAAAGTAGCCTTCGATAGATGCTTCCCAATAGTCCCCCTTGCGGCCCTGATATACCCACAATAATCCCTTGGTAGCCTTCATAGAATCCCCAAGAACCTGCTGGTTTCCTTGTATTCCGTTCCTTGATGCTCAAATTTCGGCCATTCGGGCACAGACGCCATAAGCTCCAAACTGTCAAAAACCTTTACCGGGGAGCCCGCGGCCGGATGCTTTCCAAATCGCAGTCCCAAACCCTAAACCTTACATCCCAACCTAAACTGTCCCACGGAAATCTGAAGCTTCCTAAACTCAAAGGCCCTCCCCACAAGACATGGGAGTCTGGTTCAGGGTTAATGAGCAATAGCGTTGTTGGACAATCACTCTACCTTGAAGGGGGACACCCCATAATCTCCTTACTCTCCCTACTTATGGGCCCTTCCTCAACCTCACCAGTCCCAAGCCCTAAACCCCTGAATCCGAGAATCCCAAACCCAAAGCGCTGAGTGTTTTTGACCCTTGAGGAGGGCAAAGGCCCTTCCCGCACCACCAGCACCAGCAGCGGAGCAGCTGCCGCAGCTCGGGTGAGTAGTATTTTATTTGGGGATACTATGGTACCCCAATAGTGGAGCATCAAATGGAAAAGAAAATGGAAAATGAAATGGAAACTGGGATTATTTAGGGGTTATATTATATTATAGCTCTAGGATTTGTATTTGGGGATACTATGGTACCCAAGATAGAGCAAGACTATATCCTCCTTTTGGGTATAGTATTTTATATAAGGAATATAATCTTACTAGGTTCAACCTCGGGTGAGCCAGAAAGTCGGAGCGTAGCGTTTGGTGGCTCAGGGTTTGGGGTTTGGGGATGAATGGTTCGGGTTCAGAGTCCAGGGTTAAGGGCTTCGGCCCAGGTTTTATGAGAACAACCTAGAGGGAAATTGACAGGGAACGTGCAACGGAAGCTGGGATTCTGTAGGGCTTGCGTTAGAAGCGGGGGGTTGTATGAGACAGTTTTCTATGATGATATAGTCCCCCTTAGGTAGATAGAATATGGGGTATGTGGGGATATTATAATAAAATACCCAAAGCCATATTCTATCTACTTAAGGGGGGCTAAAAACAGAAGAGTATTCCAGCCAAACAGGTTCAGGGCTCATGAAACCCGGAGACCTCAAGAAGCAGAAGGCGGCCTCAAGGCTACATCCTGAGCCCTCTTAAGCCCTCAACTCTGAATCCTAAACCTGTAACACTGAACTTCAAACTCTAAGTCCTGAATCCTAAGCCCTAAACCCTAAATCCTAAACCGTAAACCCTCTTACATTTCCCTGAAGCCGCTGGCTTCTGAATCTGTCAGCCTCTAAAAAGATGCACTGTGGCCTGGTAGCCCCCTGGGACTGAAACCCTAGTCCTGCAGCCTTCTACATGCTTCAAACCTTAGCATCCAAGCCCTAAAGCGTAAGCCTTGAATCCTAAATCCAAAACCCAAAATCCCCAAACCCACCCCGAAACACTAAACCCTAACTACCCAAACCCCTCAAACCCCAAACCCCCTGCCTTAACCCCTTTTTCTCCCAAGGAAGGCAAAACCCTTGCCGCCACCGCCGCCGGCCGCGGCCATGCTTGTTGCCGGGGGTGCGGTTGACGGGCCCCCGCCACTTGACTTGACTTGCTTGTGGTTTAGGACTTAGGGCTTAGGATCTAGGATTTAGGGTTTAGGATTTAAAGTTTAATGTCCAGGGTTTAGGATTCAGGATTTAGGGTCTAGGGTTTTGGGCTTCAAACTTACCTGTGGTTCGCAGGGAATGACGAAATGGAGGAGATGGAAACTACAAGCTACCCTAAAAACCCTAAACCCTGAACCCTAAACCCTAAACTCTAAACCCTAAACCCTAAACATAGGGACTACGAGAAAGATCAATTCCTCCATTCCTTGGTGACGGAGCGAAGTTAACGGTTTAGGGTTTAGGGTTTAGGGTTTAGGTTTTCAGTTGTATGTGCACTTGAGCACAACCATCCAGCTGAATATGAACGGTAGTTTTCCTTAATAAGGGGACCCCAATACAGACCCCCAAAGTACTATAGTCCTTACTATGGGGACCCCCAAAAGTAAGTACCCCTAATTTGGGAAACCCAAATGAGTTTGGAACATCCCCCAGCGAAGACGGCACATAATTCTTAATTGGGTTTAAGGTTCAGGGCTTAGGGTGGAGAAGACACATAATTCTTCACGGGGTCCCCTACTACCCCCACATGGCTACTAAGGAATTGGATAGGGGACTATACAGAGAATACTGCTATAATTCTTGTAGCCAGCCCCTAATAAGCCCGAGGCCCTAAACTTTGAACCTAATTATACAAAACATTAGTTCCCTTTTTGTTATCCAGTCCTTCCTAACCACCGGCAAGTCAAATGCCTCTAACACATCCTAAAACGCTCAACGCTTGAAACCTAACAGATTCTGAACTAAACCCTTGACCTAAAGCCTTCAAATTTCCAAGGAGGGCGAAGGCGCTTCCCACTCCGGCGATGCAAAGTGACACCTCAGAGGGCCTTGAGTGCCTCGGCGTCCGATGGCGTGCGCTGCAACGTAAAAGCTTCGATGATTACCGATATCATGGCTCCTTTAAGGGGACTGTCGGGGCTATAGGATTCAGGGTTTTGAGATACTCCCCCAACAATGAAGAATAATTAGAGTTGGCCTCGAATAGACCTTCGCGTCCCTGCTGTAGATTCAGGATGTGGGGGCTTAGGATCTGCGAGTTCAAATGTTTAGTGTTCACCTATGTAGGGTTTAGGTGGTTCAGGTTTGGCGCGTTTGGGGTTTAGGGATTCGGCAGAATGCCCCAAGACGCGTCCAAAGAATTTCAGCGGCTGCATCGCATCTTGAATGTCTGCGCGTTCTGTCAGTATTCTAGTGAAGTTTTTCTGTCAAGTACGGCTATGATGTCGCATGCAGGCTGAGATT